AAAAAAAAAAAGAAAAAAAAGAAAATCAACTCTGAGTTTACAAATCAACTTCAATGTCTCATGCCATAAAATATATCATAAAACATGCACTTATTGTAGGCTGAAGTTTCTCTCTCCTACCTGCCTGCTCCTGAAACCCCAGCAGCTGCTTCCCATATAATTGACTTGGAGGCTTAATATTACTTATAAATGCTTGTGCTGGTAGCTCAGGCTTATTACTAACTAGCTCTTAACTTAAATGAACCCATAATTCTTATCTCTGTTTAGCCACATAGTTTGGTACGTTTTCTCAGTGTGGCATTCTCATCTTGCTTCCTCTGAGTCTGGCTGGCGACTCCTGACTCCACCCTTCTTCTTCCCAGAATTCTCCTAGTCTGGCTGTCCCATCATACTTCCGGCCTGGCTACTGGGTAGTCAGCATTTATTAAACCAATTCAAAACACAATTCTTTACGCTGTACAAAGGCATTATCCCACAGCATTTCCCCCCTGATATCTGACTGTGGGTTTTTATTATTAAGACCAATTAGAAATCGTGCTACAACTTATATATGTATATAGTAAATGTGTATATATTTTTTATCTACCACCCATGTGCAAATGCACAAAGGTTATTATCATATTCCTAATATTTAAAACCCACACTGACTATTCACAGATTTGTTAAATTTTTTCAATGTAAACAACAAATAAAAAGAAAATCCTCCCTGTGAGGTTGTGTGTGGCATCAGCATTTGAATTTCTGAGGGTTCTTAGCAGTCTGACAAGAATTCACTTACCATCACCATTTCCATCTCTCTAGAGAGGGGATACAGGAAGCTATGCATATGGCTTAATTATATATTTTTGTATATATATTGTATATGTTTTATACAGCCTCCATAATTATTTTTGATTTACTTACTCCTATTTTTGGGGAATATTTTTAGTATATATGCAGGAACAATAAGCAAATAAAAACTGCTCACTCTAGTTAGTTTGGATTTTGACTATGATAGGAATGTGCAGAGCGCATTGGGCTTCTCCTCGGGGGCCCAGATTTGCTTCACTGTAAGTAGGCAGCTGTTCCCCATCCATCCTACTTTGCAGGTAAGCAACAAGACTCAGCTTAATATGCTTAAGAGTTTTTCTCTTATTTGTTTTTTCTTTATCATTAAAAACGTAGAAGGAGCTGGGCACTCAGGAGGCAGAGGCAGGCAAATCTCTGAGGTTGAGACAAGCCAGGTCTACAGAGCAAGTTCTAGGACAACCAGGAATGCACAGAGAGACCCTATCTTGAAAAAATAAAAAACTAAAAACCAAAAGAAAAAAATCTTAGAAGGAAAATAAAAATCCTTGTCAAAATCAACTTAAATCTGAAATACTGTGTTTTCCAAAAATTAGAATTATATTGTTTAAAGTATATAATGGGATA